GTGATGGTTCTGTCTGCTGTGAGATATTAATATCTTTCCTGCTCAGTAAAGTGAGCAATCTTGAGTCACTGAGTCACTGTAAGATTGGATTCTCAAACGTGGCTGTTCCTCTCTCTGGCAGTTACATCATCTCACTTCACCAATGACCTTTAGGTCTTCTCCACCCTTTTTGGTGGGGGAACAAGTAACAAATACCTTCCTAAACACCTGCTGGAATTGCTGTGGATTTGCAACTTCACTTGTGCTGGTTTTGATTCCCCACAGTTAAATTTTAAATCACTATTTTACTTTTCTAATGGTTAAATGCATCCTATGGCATCAAAGATAAATACCAGCCCCTCTAAGATTAAGGTCATAAGTACTGGATTTATCCCAGAGTGATACATGATTATTCAGACATCTCACTTGAGGTGCAACATTAACTTGTGACAGCAACAGTGATTTGCTGTAACTGTTCTCTTTCCCTAGTAATAAGTGATGCAATTGTTCCAAAGAAATGAACACTATGAAGCAAATCATTCACACATCTTTGCATTTCTTATCATTAGGATTAGCCTGTTCAATGTCTGCTCCAGTTAACACGCTTCCTTCTTCCAGACTCTGGGTTTCATTCCTTCCAAATTCATTGTGAATTGAATTGTTTTAGATAGTATATCTAATCCTTGGCATTATGTTAAATCTGCACTGCTGGCTTCAGTGCAGTGAAGAGGGTGGACTTTAGCTGTGCTTTAAATAATAATGATGTGCTCTGTGTCCACATCATTGTACCAACAGGAGCTGTAACACAGTTCTGTGCAATCACAGAGACTCTGCTTTTCTCCTTGGTTTTGCATCTATCCCAATAGTTTCAGAAAAGTTGGCTGTACAGGAAGAGGGATAAACTCGTTTTGTGTTAGGGCACAGGAGGCAGTAAACCACAGCAAAGGTTTTTAACTAATGCTAAGGTTTAAGGTTAGGCTTTTTAGGTGCCTTTTTTAAGATAGGAGTCAAAGATTACAAGTAAAACATGTTACCTTGAGATTAAATCTGGAACACAGAGCATTGGGCATGTAATAGGGATTTCTTTGCACCTTGTGTGAAGTATATAAACCAACAGCACTATCTCTGTGTCACCTCAAGAAAAACTCTTTGCTTTTGAGTATCCAGGATTCTTTAGAGCAGGAACAACTGACTACTTGTTTTAAACCCCCAGCCTAGAGTAGATAGAGTCACTTCCAAGGAATTGTGATAAGCAAAAACATGGAGTACTTTAGGAAATGGCCGCTGTGTCCTCAGCCTGAGCTCTGAAGTGATATTTGTATCTCATCTCCAGATACCACACTACATTCAGACCAGCACCCACACCAGAGATCCAAGCCCGTCTCAGACAGAACCCTCGAGACAAGGAAGAAAATATTGAGATGTGCGTGGAAAGCTATTACAGGAATATCAAGGAACTCGAAGATTTTTATGAAGATGCCTTTTATGTCAATGCTGACCAAGACCCTTTTGCTGTCTTTGAGTTTATAGAAAGCTGTATCATTACGCCCCTTCCATGCAAAAAATTTAAAAGCTCGTAATTAATATGGATGATTGCTTGAACTGTTGATTTTAAATTTTTCCCTGTAGCGTTTGCAGTCTGGTCACTGAAGTGGCACGTTATCACAGGTGGAGAGGAAGGCAGCCGAGCCATGTTGAATTTGAAGCTCACCAAGGCTGACTGAAGTACAGAGAGTAAGAAATTGTGCTTAGGGGAAACTTTTTTGGCTTCCATTTTGTGATCCAAGGTATGAAGCACTGTGGGGAGGGAAGTTCCTGTGTTTAATTCAAATATATTTGTCCGATTCTGTAATTCAGTGAATAGTAATTTTGTTTTAATTGTGTAATATATGTGAAGCCAACTGGAGTGTTAAAGCTATGAAATGTTTTGTGTCTTAATTCACTCACTGCTCTCCACCAAAACTACACAGGCACTACTTGGCTACCTCACTGTCACGCTCTGTGGCAAGCAAACATGAAAGCAAATGGAAAATGAAGTTTACAGCTCTGCAGTGGGTGGAGACCAGGGTGCAGAGGTTTTTATTCCCTTGCTAATTCAGATCGCTTCAAAAGTTTTGACGCAAAACTCTGCAGCTGCAGTGGCTGTTGCCTTCACCCTGTTCTGCATTCCAATCCTGTGGCTGGGCAGAAAGACTTGGAACTGGAGAAAGTATCCAGAGCCATAGGAAAGTGGTTGTAGGTTCATCCCTTTCAGAACCCAGTTAAGGACATAATGAGCTGCAGGAGCAGGTAGGTTACTAAATTGTTTTCCTCAGGAAGCAAGGCTCCCAGCCTGGGGCTGCCCTGACTGAGCCGTGGCTGGGGCAGGTTGGTGCCCAGGTTTTTTTGCTCTGACTGGATCTGGCTGCAGTAAATGCTCAGGTAAGTCTTTTTTTGAACTGGAAGATCCTTGATGAAAAGCACAGCCCTCTGTTGGCTAGCTCAGGCTCTGGCTGTGGAAATGGTTTGTTGTGATTCAGAGGAGCACCGAGTTTGATGCCTCTATTATGTCTCCCTCTATTTCTCCCTTGCATATGCATGTGAATTCCCTTGAGCAGGGGATGGGGAGCAGCTTCAACTTTCTCCTGGAAGCCTCTGTACCTAGGAAGGTGCGGGAGGCACATATCTCCTGCTCTTGGAGAAGCATTTTGGTTTTAGATGACTTCTCTGGTCCTTTTGCTGTGAATAAGTTTGGGTCTGTTCCTGCCTCTGGTTGTGTTTGCCTTGGTCTATGCAGAGTGCGGTATGTGCCAAATTTCCTTCTCACGTATGTAAATTCAGATGGAAAGACCCTGGTTATCCAGATGGCTATGGGGATATTGCATTGTTCTGGGAGAGCTTCAGGTCAAAATTTTAATACCTTTGCGGGGGGGGGGGGTGGGGTGGGGTGGTGGTGGTGAATGGGAATTAAACTTTACAGCCCTGAGGGCAGCTTTAAGAATCTTAGCATAAGTATCTTTGAAATCGAAGAAACCCAAATCCTCTGGCATCAGCAATGCAAGCTGAGTTCTCTGTGCCTCTTGCACTGAGAAACTCCAGCTCATAGCACAAGGCTGAGGCAAAGGCTGCTCCCACAGCACAGGGCCCAACAGCAAACCCTTGTGTAAAGCTGGGCAAGGGCATTGATAACAGTCCTACCTGTTACAAATGTGCTGGTCGATAACCTACTTGGGCAGCTGTTTTTTATGCTGTTGCTATAAAGATGTGCTGTAGCATTCATGCATAATTGGGAGCCCTTCTATTAATAATACATGGGAAGCTCATCTTGCTAATATCACCTTCATCTGAGTGTTCCTACTAAATATTTTGATAGATGAAATGGATAGAGAGTGTATTTAAATACTGTTTGTACTGCAGCTAGGGTACAAAAGGAACAGAGCATCTTTAATTAGACAGGTACATCTGCTTAATTAATTTAGCTGTAAAGCCCTTTTTCCTCTTCATTCTTTCATCTATATGCGGATGCTATATTAGTTCCGCTCTGCTGGTTCCACAGAAACTGAGAAAAAGAGCTCGTCTCATTGAGATGCGCTTGGCATGTCTGGGTACGGAGTCTCAGGTCAATGGTCAACCCCCAAGGGCTTGCAGCAGGCCTGAAGTGCAGAACGTAAGGGTTAGCAGAACATGCTAATACTCATGTAGAACTCTCCCTCAGAAACAACTAAAACAATTGACATTCATTTAATTACTGTAAACGAAGCAGCCCCTGCATGACTTTGCATAGTAAAGCCTGTTAATACCACAAAGGTTCAGTGGGTGGAAGGAGGAATTAGGCTTTTATAATTGGAATGCAACACTTGAAAACCAATTTGGTAACTACGCTTGATTTTATTAGCATCTTATTCTGGCAAAACAAATGTTGAGCAATGAGAAAAACAAGGTAAAGAGGAAGTGATAAGAACACAGCAGGGATCAGATTTTACTTATAGCACAGCTTGCCTGGTCCTGAAATGGACGTTGTTTATCATTCTGCCTCCCGAAGATGCTTTGTGGAGAGGCCTGCTCAGAGGTTGTGCCATACCCTATATGTTATGCTGTTAATTACATAGTTCAGCGTCCAAGTGTTCCACAAACTTTAGTGTCCACCTGTTCCAAACAATAGTTCCCTCAGTGTACCATGGTAAAAGGACTCTTGAACACCCCCAGGCAGAGGCAACATCCTCCAGCACCTCTCTGCAGGGCCCCTGTGAGCCCATGAAGGATTTCCCCTGCCTCCTCCTTTGGTTTCTCACCTTTCTCTCTAAGGCTCAGGTGCTGCTCATGTGATGATGCCAGCACAAAAACTTTCAGTGTCACTGGTTTTGCCATCACCCATTCACAAGGTGCTGTAGAAGCTGTGGGACTGCAGTGGTCCTCAAGGGCTGGGGTAGAGCAAGGACAGGCTTGGTACCTCCCTGTGCCTCAGCTCTGTTTCCCAAAGGGGCAGCTGGAGCAGAGCAGATCTGGAGCAGGAGCGAACCGTAACTGTGTCGTGGTTGTCAGAACTGAACCTGACAGGTGACTTTTCCCTTGTCAGACGTACTTCATACAGAAAATTGTCTTTCCCCTCTATGAGAAGCCTCTTGGGGTCTTTCTCCTCTCTGCAACAAGAACTGTTTGATTCTATGAAAGAAAACACAATGTGATGTCAGGCTCCTTTCATCAAAGAAGGTTGGTTCATTAGCAGCATTGTTTTTCAGACTTGGAGCATTGCAGGTGGCAGTTTGGGAAACCAGGGAAAAGAGAGGCTGACCCTGTGCTGATGATACAAAGGGACTTGTGTGGCTGAGGGGCAGTGCCTGATCTGGGTCCTCTTCCAGGTTTTACCACCTCTGTTCTGTGACAGTGGCCACAGTGAGCTTTTTATTATTACATTTTTTTTAAGTAAGTGTGAAGCTTTGTGCTGAAGGTCTGAGTATTCAGCTACACTGCTCTGTCTTGCCAGTCTCAGCTCTTAGCACCCCATGTCCCTCACAGGAATTCAGTCCCTTAAAAGACAGGCGTTACAAACAAGTACTTTATTTATTTATTTAGAGTAAAAAAAAAGGAGCATGGTTACAGTGCTACTGTGGTGGTATACAAAACATTCATCCAGGTTTGCTTCACGTTTACAAAGTGTGCCATATACACAGCATTGATATTCACAGCAACCTTGTCACACCCTCCTGTGAACTTGAATCTTAAAGGAAAAATACAGAAACTGAGGATTAAAACTCAACTTTGCATTTTGGTCAGCCTGGTGACCACATGGTCTGGCAGCCACAACCCTCGCACCCCAGAATGGAATTAAAGTAGGATGAAGAGATCAACTAGATTAGCAGAGTAATGAAATTAAGCTCTCCTCTGAACAGTTCCATGTGGATGGCTCTTGGGTGTTTCCATCGCAAGGCTGGTCTCCTGCCTTCGTGTTCAGTAAGAACGCCGTGGGGCTGGTGCAGTCCTGTGACTCCTGCCGCAGGCTCTCAGCAGCGCATGAATCCTCCTGTGATAAAGTGCTCCAAGGATTCGCATTTGGGTTGATTCAGCCATGGCCTAGGACAGCACAGGGAATTATTCCACTTTCGGCCCCCCAGTGTAGCATAGTTAATGCTACCAAGTGCCCCATATACTGGCAGCATTGCAACAGTGACAGCAATCATCCACCAGCCACTGTGACATTCCTGAGGTCACCACCTGAGTCATGACAGAGCAGCAAGAGCTCCAGGTCCTTCAAGGGCTAAAGACTGAGTTAGCATTAAAAAATAGTGACAGAAAGAGAATATTCCACCTGACTCCAAGTGTCTGGGAACATCTCCAGTGTAAGGTATGAGTGAGAACTGAGTACAGCCAAAGATTAGCACAGACAGAAATTTAAGTGAGAGTATGCCTAGAAGGCCCTCCTCCACTGTAAGTGTGAATTTGAACTCTGTGAGCATTGCTACGCATACCAACCTCTTCAGGCTGTGAAAAACTACCTCTGATTGACACTTTCAGGGCTCAGCTCCTTCTTGTTAAGATCCCTGCACCTTTGGCAGATGGGACGGGGCTCCAGATGACTACAGCCAAGCTCAAGTTATCCTTGTTTACTTACATGGCGAGGGGGGGCAAAAAGGAGCTTCCTAACCTGGTGTTTCCCAGCAGAAATGTAAAGTAGCAGGTACCTCCACGGAGACCCATTTCATTCACCTCTGGTGAATGGGTCAGGGTGAGGAGTGAAAGCTTTGTGCTAAAGGTTCTCCACTGGCATGCAGACAAGGCTGACGTCATTGGCTTTAAAATTCCATTCTTCCAGCAATGATAGAATCCTAGGTTAAATAAACTGGGAATGGTATACTGAGTATCTACTGCCTTGAAAGACAAGGAAAATAAACATTAAAGTTGCAACATTAATGCTCCATGTACTAGAGCTTCTACATGTCTAAAGCATCAAAAACTCAGTCCAGGAAAGTCAAGAGAACTGCTGTTAAGTAACCACCAGGAATTAACCTAATAGTATCATGCTGAACCTATTGGGCAGCCAGACATAAACACTTCAGCAGATCAGAATATTATTATGGTTTCTAAGCCAGTATTGAAGAAACGGTCTTTGATGTACAAGGTTCTGGAGAGTTCTCTCATGTCTTCCACAGTCAGGTGAATTTCTGAGAACAGCACTTACTAATGAACTGGCCAAGACTGCCTGGACAAGGACATGCCACTTCCATCTAAAATGTTTTCTCTACCACAGTGAATCAACCCTCTGCTCAGCTTATAGTGGCAACTGATGTTCTGTTCCCCCCAAACCCCATCAGCGCTGGGAAGGAGGAGGTAAACGCTGCACCAGGTACAGCACCTGGCCCCAAACTGCGCACGTGCTGGGTATCGAGGTTACTCTTTGTTTTACTAGGTGCTATCACAATCTACACTTTCCTTCTCTGCAGACACACTGAAGTAATTTCAATTTTCAATGCATAGCAATAAAAAACTAAACATTTCTTTAATACAGTTCTGGTATCACTTCCAAGGATATTTACAAACAAGGCTATTTTACAGACAAATGTACTTCTGCTGTTCTAGGCTACCATATTAATTATTTGCAGTCAAAGCACTATCATGCTTAATGCATGAAACACAGAATAGTAAGGACCTGGGTTAATGTTAGCTGAAAAAGATTTGCTCCTACTGAAGGTGAAGGAACATTAAAAAGATATGCATAGTCATTGACTCAAGGAAATTTAAGTACCGATCCACACATGCACTGCTGGAGTCTGATACTGTCACACAGTTCCTTGGTTTCTCAAATAGCTACAGAGCACTTCACACACAATTAGAAGTGTCATGAGAACCACAGACAGGACAACACATCCGAGTGTCCAGGCTGGTACTCTGAAGAATGTAAATACATAAACTTTGGAATATTTGACAACATGGAGTTAACAAGATAAACTGTACCAAATCACTGTACATGTTTTTGAGGTATTCTTCCTCTTAATGCTGCATAGGAAGTTGAAAATTATTCTCCTGCTCCCCACAGGCATGAGATATAAAGATGTGGGGTTTTTTTCTGATAGGACAGTTAGGAAGCAGAGTAAGTTTCTGGGCTCAGCCATGCTACATCACTGGTGTATTTATGAATCTCTTGATGAGAAGGTCAGGATTATACAAGAATAGCTTCAACAGATTCCATGACCACCCATTGAAACCTTACCTATTATGTGTCAGCCACAGTGGTGGTGGTTGGGTTTGGGGTGTTTTGTTGGTTTGTGGGATTTCTACTGCTTTATTAGGAAAAGAGAGACCGTCAGCTGAGAGTGAATACTTGTGTGTCATACTTCCATAAAACTCGATTATTGTATGAGGGAGACTCTCAATTTAACTAAAAATAAGATAAATTGGTAATGGTTTTAGTAACTGAGTTACACTGGAAAAGATCATTCCTGTTGGTAGAGGGTTAAGTGAAACAAAAGGCATATATGTTGGCAAAAAGCTAGGAAGTAGTTAGAATTTAGTTCAGGAAAAGAAAGTGGGGCAAGAAACGTAGGAGCATTAGAAATAATGTGTGTGTATATATATATATTAGTGTTTAATCTAATTGCTATTAGTTTAATAATTTTTACGTTTAAAAATTATTCTTGCTCATCCATATTTGACCCAGACAGTCAATATTACCCTTCTGACTGCGATACTGTTACAACAGTTAAGAGGCAGTTACTCTTGTAGACTGTAAGTAAAACTAATGTAACGGCCAATTTATTTCATATGGCTGTAACGGGCATACGCTTCACTCTGCAAGAAATTAGAACCACAAATTATTTTTATAGTTTAATATTCTGCAGCAAGAGCTAGTCCTTGCTAAAAAGCAAGTGAGAGCACTACAAGCTGAAGCCTTCTCTACCCACCAAGAGCATTCTAGAGGCAGCTCCGCTGTTCCCGTCCTGGCTTTTGGGAAGTCACACTGTTGTGAGGCAGAAAGGACAGTTCATGCTGCGTGCTTGACTTCGGTTCCTTTTCAGCAAAAGGAAGCATGTCCAACTGCTGACGCTTCAGTGGGGGAGTGCATTTCCAAACCACTTCATAAACTTGCTCTTTCAGATGTATTCCTGTTTCTGGAGCATGGAATGGGCTCTGGACTCAAGAAGTTTCTAGAACTAGTGATGTTCTATTTACAAGGCTATGGACAATGTCCTTCCCCTCCAGTAAAGTCTGATTCCTGTGCTCTATATCCTTTGAGACTGAAGGGAGCTTATGCAGTAGAGAAAGTACTTTCAATCTTTACATAGCTTTTCTCTAGAAAACAGGAGAATCACAGAACGTGCAAGGTCCTTGCAGTAACCTCTTGATCCATTCAGGATCTGCAAATAAGAACACAAGTTGTTTAAAGCTGGAGGTGGAGGTGAACGCAGGAATGATGCCCGAGTTGAACAAACTAAGTAGTAATCCTGAAACACTTTGTATATAGTTACCATGCAGGACTGAGAGTTAAGGGGAATACAACTCCATTTCTGTCTTGAAATTTCATGTAATGCCAGTTTAAATTCCTCTTCAGTAGGGGAAAAAAATCAAGGTGAAATTCCATGCTGTATCATTACATACTACATACTAATGTAGTGTTCTCATTTTCTTAAATGAATTTAGATCCTTCATATAATGCAGTCCCTGGTTCCTGTTTCTTCATCCCTCTCAAATACAGTGTAATTAAGTTTACAGCCTCTCTATAGAAATTTAAGTTCTGTAGTTGATCCTTAGTGCTGACTGGAACACCCACCTATTGTGGGCAGAGAAAAAGTATCACCTACATTTTAAGACAAACTGTTAGAGTACTCCATGATTTATTTAATTTTTTTATTTATTGTTTTTTAAGTTTTTACCAGTCAGGAAGAAAACAATTTTCTTCCACAGTTTGTCCTTCCTCAAACTCTGAAAATGCAAAGCCAACAGGCTGACTGGCTCATTATTGTCTCTGAATGCTGCACTTATGGCAGGTTTGGGACTTAAGCCAAACGGTGCTAACTATTTCTTAACCTGTGCTGGATCAACAGAGCTTGCACTAAAGTAGAATGCCAAAGACCCTCTTGCAGAACTAGACGCTAATATATTCAACTTGAATATAAACTAACTGTTGTAGCGCTCCACCACAGATTATGTGTTTACCCAGCTCTCATTAAAATGTAGTATTTATGAATTGACTTCTGCAGTCAGTATTTTGTAATTAACATATGCCACTAATGCATGGGCAGCAATGGGATACTGTGAAATGCTGAGTCCTAATACTTCACATGGTAACTGCCTCAAAGAGAAAAAACAATGAAACTAATCCAAGTTGTTTTGCAGATAAGAATTTAGGAACATGTAATCCTGCCCCTTTGGGCCACAGAAAGAGTTTACCTTCTGGGGTTGGATGCCGTGCAATGCTGTCGTGAAGTAAACACCTCCTGTACACCAAACTCTGGCAGGATTGGTAAGTTAGAAAGCACCTGTGAAAGGAGAAGAAGTTTTATCAAGAGGCTTGGGGGTTTATTATGTTTTTGTGACCTGCTCCTATGTCCTTACTTTAAGCTGGGTTCTGTTCCAAATATACCTTGCTTTCTCAGAGTAAGGGAGCCCCATTAAACACAAAAATGAATGATTTATCAATTCAGATACATGAAAATTCACAACTGTACCCAATTACATGTGACCACCAACGTGAAAAAGGCCAGAAATCAATATGCTATTGAAAAAAGTTTCATCACTGGCCAAAAAATGTTAGCCATAGTAGAAAAGGTAAAAAGCCTGAGGGTTACTGCACAGGGGAAGACCCATGGTGTCTTTAAGGCAATGACTATTTAGCGAAATTAACACATAAAATCTGTTAGACAAATGTTTTCCTTTGTGACAGACTACTAACTTGCCAAGTCTCCACGGACAAGCACTATGTACCTGATATATCTATATTGGAAGGTTTTCTTTCCTATATGTTCCAGAACTTGTCTGACTTTTCAATGTGGCTGTTTCCAATCTTTTTTTTGTTAAATAATTTTGTTTTCAAATGCTGAAGTAGCTGGAACAAACCCTCCTTCACGTGCTGTTCCAAAGGATGACTTGGGCTTCAGTTTCCCTCTCCTACTGTCTCCCTGCCCCCATCCTCCCTCTGCTTGAATTAAGAAGTTCATGATCAAAAGCATTTGTTTTAAATATGGTACACTGATAAAAGAACCAAATCCAGTCTACAATGCCCTCCCTTTTCTCAGGAGACGACAGATAACAGCCAGCAAAACCTGCAATTAACTGCAGCATGGATAACAAGCTTCATGACTTTTTACTCCAGCACTAAGAAGTACTTCAGGTTAGCTATATAAGTATGTTTAAATTATGCAGAGGAGGGCAAAAACTCTTTAAGAACCAATTACCTGAGCCAAATATGTCCATTGGAGCAGACTGCCTGTTTGCGATCGGTGAATGGCAGGATCTCTTTACACAAGCTGCAGTGCTCTGGAAAAGTCTGTTTGTTCATTTTCTTTAAGATATGGCCGATCAGCACCTGGAATACAGAGCAGTCAGCACTGTATACAGCAAAGCTGCCTACTGAAAGGTGGAAATGTCTCTCAGGATACTGTCATTTTAGACTATGGTACAGGATGCAAAGATCTATGTACTTCACTGTATTCAAGGAAACAAAAGCACTAGAAATAGAACACATTGGTAAGTATCAATTTACTCTCATTTTATTGTTATCTCCTAAAGATTTCTGTCCCACAGTAAAGGAATACAGAGTTTAAGAGCAATAGTGTTATGTTAACCTACTTGCAAATTTTAAAAGTACTGGCACCACTTTAGGGGATGCCACTGATCATTACAGCAACGCTTTTTCTCATGATTATCACAATGGATGTGCTAAAAAGATCCTGTTCAGAAATTACCTGGATGCATGTCTTCAGTAGTCATCTCAGAGTATACATAATTTATAGTAGTACATGTATGTGATGGAATTTGTCTCTGACATTTCAATAGCTATAAACAGCATTCCAAGGACCTTTAAAATGTGACAGCAAACTGAATAGCTAAAACAGAATCTGTAAGTCAGCTTTTTAATCGCTATAAAAAAGAAAAATCTTGTTTATGTGGTAAGAAAAGCACCCTCTCCAACCTTCAGTTCACAGTAACTGGATGCTAGAAAAGCGCAGTTCTGCCGGATACTTCCCTAGTGAACTACTGAGAGCCACGCTGTGGCCTGCTTGCTTTTAAATCCAGCAGAAAGACCACCACGCCACATCAGTAGTGGGAATGTGCTCCCTTCCTCTGTCTTTCTGGACGCAATGTAAGGGTTGGTTTTTAGACTTCAGGTGATTTAAGGACTTAGGTACTGAAAAAAACCTGTTCTCTGCTCATACAAAGAGGTACAGAGATATCTGAGACATTCCTGTCATCAAGTCTTAAGAGCCAGGAGGCTGATGGCAGTGTTCCCACTGAAGCTTCCTTTGTCTGATGCCTATATTCAGAAAACTTCATTGCCCAGTGCAAGGTTCATTTGCCACTTATTTCCTGCCACAAACGCTTACTCTACACACTGCAATAGTCAGGGTACTGTCCCTGCAGTTATGCTTCTATTTTGATAGGGAGTATTGCAAGTTTGGGAGGACTTCCTATCATGGCCAAGCATTCAGTTATGTTCATTTATTGCAGTTCAGTAAATGCAAGCATGCCTGAAGGTTCAGGCCATGTCTGCTGTAACAAAGACCTTCAGTCAGTTTGGTTAACTGGAAGTCCTGCACAAAGTTCTGAATCACTGGGTTCCACTTACAGAACACAATCACTTTCTGAACCCCTTTAACTGATCTTTCTACTGAAGGCTCATGGAGCAATGACAATACCTGATGTATCACCTGAACAATCACAGTATTTTCAATTATAAAGCATTACTGCAACTCTTAAAATTAGAACTGCAGATGTAACTGGCAGGAGGAAATAACTCCCAAGTTTAGTTTTGAGAGATGAGTGTTTAAATAAGTTTAGCCATGAAAACAATATCCTTCTCAATTAGTACGTGTTTGTAACCCACCAACAGGGGCATAATAACCATAGCCCTCTTCACTCTGCAAAAACTCAGGCATGCTTACTCTTTACTGTACCTGATGCAAATTCCACCATCTGTATTTACATTCCCTCATACTCCACAATTTCAAGGAATGACAACTTAAGCTGACTGGCAAGGATGACGTGATTACAGTTCTCTTTCCCACCTCAAAGTTGTAATTTAAATTAAGCATATGGAGGGGGGATAAAGAAGTAACTTTTAACACCAAACCCCCAGAGCATAGAGGTGCACTTACTCGTGCTGTTCTGTCATCATAGCCAGCATCGGACATTAAGAAGTCACAGACTCCTCTGGTGGGAATACTGGTGTTTTCTGTAATCCATGTGTGTAGATACACTTCTCCCAACACCCGTTTCATGTGTTCTCGTGTCAAGTGCATTTCTACTGCCTCAATCTGTGCCTGTATTTCAAGAAGCTTTTCTTCCATTGGCTCACGGCCTCCTATGTCACTTGACTGAGGAAGAGAATCATCTGCAGTGTCATCTATGTCCATACCTTTGCCAGTGCCACACAGGCTCTGCCTGCTGGCTTGTTTGGAAGTTCCTTCCTCCTGATCATCCTCAGTGCTGCCCATCCCAGGGGAATCAGATATCAAGATTTTTGTGTCCTCGTGTGAAGGTCTCCACATGACCTCTGAGGGAGCTTTCTGCATTGACTGGTACAAAATCCTTAGGAGAAATAGCTTTAGCCGCCAGAAGTAGGTGGAACCACAGCTCTCAATCTTTTTATCCAGTGCTTCCTGTAAGAATTGAGGAATATGCTTATCCTTCAAGATTTTCCAGCGTACAAGGTCTGTCAAGTCCACTTGCCGGAAAAGGTTCTGAACAGAAGATTCCAAGAGCTGTGCAGCTGCCTCCTCAAAAGTCTTAAGGGTGACAAACTGGACTCGGTAGTTTTTGTTAACTGGGTGCAGACCATTAGTCATGCCCTCTGTTGTAATAACTGCCAAGTATGCCCCACACGGGCTAACAGCTATTCCATGAGTCCTGACAGAGCCAAACACTTCCGAGAGCTTAATCAGCTGGTGCTCAAACTTTAAAGCAACATCTGTGAATATAGGAATGAGCTGCCTTACCTTTCCATCACTGGAGCACGTATACACTGTGCCATTCTGTTTGTCTGCAGTCATGGACACAATTGGCAAAGAATGAAGCCCTGTCACATGGGAATTATGGACATTCAGACCTGCTTTGGATATCAACAGGAGACACCAAAACACATAAGCTCCTCTTGCGGCCACCACTAAGCTACAACTACATTTCTGGTATGGGTGGTAGAGAGGAATACATTTGATACTATGCACTGGTAACTGGTCCATTTCTTGCCATAAGACTACGGGTTGTCTCAGTGTAAAGTAGCCTTTGACTGCTTTTAAATTGACAGGAAGGATCTTAACCGGTCCAAAAGCACTCCCTACAATAAGTCCGCTCATCTTTCGGTTGTTATGTTCATATTCCCACCAAGACAACACACTTGGGGAACAGATTCCAGACTCTATCGTATTGCAAGAAGTAATTGATTCCTTACCCAGAAATGGAAGCTGAAATTGCCAAACTGCAATGTTGCTATTTTCAAACAGTACTGCTAAGAGCACACTGCCGACATCCCGGCATTCGTTGTTGTGCTTGACCTGCTGAGTGGTGCAGATGCCCGACCACTCCATGCGCACTGGAGTCTGCATGCTGTGCCGCCGCTGAAATTCAGGGAAGTCTCCTAACTCCCCCCTGGGAGTGTCAGCCTTGGAAAGTTTGTAAGCTGCTTCATACAAACGCTCCCCATAGATTTCCGTCAGGTCCACCAGCTGCACCCACTGCAGCCTGTTGAGGTTTGCGTGGATGGTCAGTCGATTGTCCATGGTTAAAGCTGCAAGCAGGCACCTCCCGTTGGCGTCACAGCCCAGCGGTGACCAGCTGGAGTACTTGAATCCTCGCATGGGTGGCAAAGACTTCCCCTCGGGATTGAATACTCGATCCAGCATAAAAGTTTGACTAACAGTTGGATCCACTGAATTTGCAAACTTTTCCTTGCATTCGGCTACCTCCTTCTTTGGACCAACCTAGAAGGTAACAGAAAGAATATCTAAGAACAGTCGTAGAGGGAAGACTTTCCTGGAATTAATACCCACTTGAAACAGAGCATTCTCTGTCACAATGTACACTACACTGTTCCAATGGTTAATTAATTGCAGTTTTAAAGATTTAAGCTTAATTTTTGGCCTGAATTCGTAGAGCTTTGACTCTCAACTACTGAACCTTTGTCTGCTGAATCAAAGAGCCTGTTTTCTACTTCTTAAGTGTGTATTTAAAGGTCCAAGACAACAGACTTATTCTGTAATAAGGCACCCAGGCTTGCTACCTCTCTGTGCTATGGAGTGTCAGAAGTCCCCCTTGAAGCTCTGCTGCAAAAGTCTTTCAGCTTAGCAAACCGAGGGAGATTTCTACTTAAAATTTTGTTTGTCAGCAAAGTGCTGGAGCTCAAGTGATGCTTAGAAAAAAATCCCTGAAATCCACTCGGTAGCGGCTCTAATTCCCCCTTCACGTTACTAGTTTATATATAGGGGCTTTATTCCCCTATGCTTTTAAATCGCACGAGACGCTGCAAGTACCGCTGCGAGTTGTGCGCGGGGCAGGAGCATCCCCGGGAGGCGGCTCACCTTGAGCAGACAGGCGGCGGAGGGCGCGGGCACGGCCGTGCGGTGGATGACCATCTCCTGCCCGCCGCTGTGGACGTCGCTGAGCTGCTCCAGCACGGCGATGCTGCGGGCCGTGCTCACCGACACACGGTGGTCCTCCGACCAGGCCAGCGGCTCCAGCCCGCTGACGCCATGCTGCAGCCGCACCGCGGGCTCCCGCCGCACCGCCGTCAGCCGGAACCCGGCGCTCGGAGCTGCGGCCGCCGCCTCCTCGACCAGCGAGTCGAGCCCCAGCGGCGGCTCCTCCTCCCCGGCCGACAGCGAGGGGCTGCCCCCACGCTCCGCCGCCGCCGCCATCTTACCGCCGCCGCTCGGGCTGCCGAGCGCATGCGCCACCGCCGCTGCCGAAGCCCCCGGCCGGCCCGGCTGGGGCTGCCCCGCCGCTGCCTGCACCGCCCCGCGGGCGGCGGGGTCGGAGCGTGCCCCGCTGGGCCCCTGCGGGAGGGCGGGCGGCTGAGGCAGGGGCGCTCTGGGACGGTGACCGTCCCCGCTGGGGACCCTCCACCCGCATTTCCTCCATCCCCCTGGGCAGGGCCCGGCCCCAGGGACGGTCCCGGGGCCCTCCGGGAGGCGGTGGGCTATGGCGGCGGGCGGGACGCTGCTCCTCAACCTCAGCCCGGCGTCGCGGGATCGCAGCCGGGTAGGTGCTGCCAGGGCAGGTCGGGGACCCGGCCCGGGACAAGCGACGGCCATCCCTTTACCGGGTGCGGGGAGGCTGCTGCCGGCCGAAGCCGTGGCTGTCGTCAGGAGTGGAGCTGGGGGCACCGGCTGGGGCTGGCCCGGGGAGCCGCGGTCAGGGGGGAAAGAGTCTAAGAAGTTGTTAAATGGAGGTTTTGGCTTTCCCGTTAGGGACGGGGTTGGTGTCTGCAGAGGGGCCGGTGTGCTGGGCACGGAGACGGGCCGGCCCTGGGTAGTGGTGGTGGGAAACACGAGATACGAGCTTCTCTGATCCCTTCAGCGGGGCTGCTCTGCTCTTCCCTTGCCTTGCTGGCGGCTTCGGACTGGTATGGTGGCTGCTGAAGCTGTGGGTAACGCTCTTACAGGCTTCTGCCTTATTTAGCGATGCTCTGAAATGCTGCTGGGGGGGGAGAAGTGTTTTAGAGTAAACTGCTAATTGTGGGAATGCTGTGAAGGGCAGGAATAGGTGCTTTACATCAGTTTGAAGAAAGATGAGCAAGAATGGGTTACGTAGGTACTTCCATTTTAAAGTTATTGTTATAGTGATTCTGGGTTGTTTTGGTTGTTACTCCGAATTTTTAAATCGTTCTTAAAATACTGTACAAAAGTATGTAAGAGTTAAGTGATTGCCAGGATTTACCCTGGTTGTATGAGGCGCTTGGAGGTAGGGCACCACCACCACCACTTTTGTGATGGTGAATGTTGGAGGAAGGAGGTTGGGGTTTGGTTGGTTGCCAAAAATGTGAAGAAACGAGTGAAACAGTATAGGTCATAGAAGAAAATCAGAGTGTGCAACTAGGAGCAGAGACGAGAGGAAAAAGTGGGGCAGGATTGTGCTGATATTTCACATATTTCAGGAGCTCTGCAATAGTGTCAGGGAGGGGAAAAAAAAGTTCATTGAAGAAGGGCTTGGGGACATTGAAGAGCATTGGGGACCAAAGGAAGTTAAATTTAATTTTCTTTATTGTTCCTGGAGGGATACAGGGAGAGCAAAAGCTGTTTTTAATATGATTGGAAGATCAGTAAAATAAACTCATTGCTGCAGAAGAAGAAATCAAGTGCTCAGAAGTGCTGGGGGTTGGCAGAAGCAGAAGTTGGAGTGAAGCACAGGCCATCCTTCCTGGCCACAGATTGAAGGAAGCCTGCAGGGATGGCTTTAATGTAATCAGGAGATTTGCAGAGCTTTTGAAAGAGATTTTTCAAGTGTGTTTTGGAGAAGCTAGATAAAATCCTTTGTAGAGATGAGCACTATATATGACTTAAGATTTGTCTTTGCATTTCAGTGATGTTCAGAAGCCTCAGGCATGCTGGTGAATCTGGTAGAGCAGGAGCTGCCTAGCTGCAAAAATCAAGCTTACTTTCTTCAGTTATGGGGCAGGGGTTCTATCTGTGGGCTAATGTTTGTGTTCATCTTGATACCATGTTGTTTATTCTCAGTTGTTAATGAATTCTTTCTCTCTGGTTTGTTAACATTAAAGCAGTCTGGTGCTCTAAAAAGAAAGCTTCAGTCACCAAATGGAAACCCACCTTTGAAACGTAAACATAAGCTATCAGTAAACACCTTCAAGAAACCTGCTATAGAGGCTGACATCAGGCAGAAGGGAAGTTCATCACAGAAATCTACTCCTAAAAAGCAGTTGGCTGACAACCGAAATGAAAGCCAGAAAAGCAAACCTTTCATTAAGACATCCAGCCTGTTTAGAAACAACCCTGATATCCCAGAAATTCACAGGTACTTTAGATATATTTATAAATAGTAGGAAAAACCCTTTTCAGTGTCTTGAATTCTTGCCCTTACTTGGGCATACTACACAGACTACTGTTGTATAGTTTTTAACCACATGATGTGCTTTGTTTTATTTTTGTTTGTGTCCCCCTAACACAGAAAAGCAGTGCAGCAGGTACAAGAAAATGTTTTCACTACAGATTCTTTCAGCCAGTTGGACCTCCATCCACATCTGGTGAGTGACAGCAAGGCTGTGTGTCTTGAAACATGATTTTTTGGATGGGGAGCAGGTTAGGGAGCTAGGAGATGCACCTTTATTCATGGTGATTTGGACAGGCTTGCCAGTACTTTGCCTGATTTCGTTGTGTTCTCTTAGGTCAGTATGCTCCCCAGTGTCTTGACCCATCCCTAAAGACACTGTCCCACCCTTCAGTTTCTGCAGTTATAATGCCAAAAAACCCACAGAAAACTATCTGGGAGTGCAGTATTTTGACAAGTCTGATACTTCATGATGTACCGGCAATGGCATAATTCTGATTAACCAAGAAGTATTTGGAGATCATGGGAACTTTTACATCCAGTTGCCCTCGGACCAGTAATGTAAAGAATCAGCGTCAGTCTTCTGATCTGTCTTGTACTAGAGAAGGTAACAAAAGGAATAGTTTGACAATGAAACCTGTTTACTGCTCTTTATTATCTCTCTAGATCTCCACAATAAAAACCGTCCTAAAGATAAGTAGCATGACCAGGTAAGCAAATTCATATAAAAACTTTGCACTTCACTGCTCCATAAAGCCAGTCACTTGTGATTGTTTTGTTATATGCCACTGGTTTGTGAAGTATCTGTTATGCTGTGCCACTTACCATAGGGTTTGTTGCTTTCAAAATCTGGGATGAGAAATAACTTGTAAGTTACACAGCAAGTGAGTTGTCACAGCTGAAGGTGGAACCTTTGAGTCCTGCCTTTGAATTTGGCACTTGAATCATAAAATCATCTTTTTTCAGTTGATCATACCCGATGCCTGTCTATGGCTTTCCTTAGAAATTACCTCTACTGATGTAGCTACACAGCAGAGATGAATGCATGGAATTTGGGGTAAACAGTCTTGAAACAGACCTGTGTTGCATTCATATTTCCTAACCCGTTTTGTTTGATGCAGTGTTCAGAAGCAAACAATTCCTGTTCTCCTGCAAGGCAAAGATGCTCTAGTGAGATCTCAGACTGGTTCAGGTCAGTATTTAATTGTCAGTCTCCTCCCATATGGCATATTAAACTGGATCCCAAATATAGAACCAAAACCTCATGTTCCCAGTACAGTTCATATAAGTGACAGGCTGGGCAGCCTGGTATGGGACTGCTGTGACACAGGCAGATGCTGTGCAAACTTCTGTATCAGCACAGTGCTGGGACTGGCTGTTGCTGTGCAGCTGCCATCCATTGTACAGGAGCCTGTTCCAAGGCTCATGCTGGAGACACAGAGCCAGGAAACGGCAGCGCTAAACAGTGCACACTCTCACTACGCAAGCTTAGGTGCTTGCTCTGCAGGAAGCTGTGTCTGGATGTCTCATTTGCTTGGGTGAGTGGGGGTTTTTATTTAGGTAGCTCTTAGTGGGGTACCACCACCTCTCTGTTTTTTAATTTGACTCTTTGGTGAGCTGCCTGTTAATCTTCTGGGAACTTTACACTTAATTAAAACTCTTCTAGACTCTGACCTCAGCTTAAGAATAGTAGGCTGAATGGTACTTTAATTTGCTGTAGTTTACACAAGTTCTACTGATGAAAAATCCTCCAAATTTCTCCCTTTTAAAAAGGTAAAACTCTTGCCTATGGAATTCCACTTGTACAGTCTCTGCAAGGAATGGAATCAAAAATACAGGTAGGTGAAACAGAATAATTGCTCCCAGTTTGCATCATCTGGTTGACCAGAAAAGGCTGCTGCAGATCTGCCATCTCCTGTGCATTTTATGGAAAGAGATCCTGACTTTCCATGCGGGATGAAAAGTTTCCAGCCCATCCTGGATTGCTGCTTTCTGCAACTTCTACCTACACATTGTTGCTGTGCATCAAACATGGGAGTATTTATGCAACTCAGAAATACAGGAGTGAAACAATATGTGTATGGAATAAAATGTTGGGTATGACTGTGAGCAGGGAAGAGAAGGCAGTGCAGTATCAATATTTGAAAGACTGTTGATTTCTTTAAAAGGTGGGAGGGGGGAGTACCCCAAACTGCTGTGTGCAAACTTGTACTAAACCCCTTCGGAAGTCATTTAGTTGGCTAACAGCAGTTCGGTGTGGAAGCACTCTGTTTTTCAGTGCTACGTTCTTCTTAGTGGACCTTGTATTCTCTGTTTGCAGCGCAGTGATGGGCCTTACGCACTCATATTAGTCCCAACAAGAGAGGTATGTGGCTTTTCTTCTGATTTTGTCTGTATCAGAGTGTTTGAACGCTGATATTTAGTGTGTAGATGTGGGCCCACCAGCGGCTGTCTTAGGAAACGTTGTCTATTCTTTTGCACAGGTCTTGCCCTCACAGAAAGAGCTCTTGCTCTCTGGATGCATATTGTCTTTTTTGTTCAGTGCTATACCAAAGAAAGAAGGAATCTCTGAGTTTTCCTTACGCAGCCGGAAATAATATTGAGTCCTGGAGAAACATTCTAGCTCAGTGCAAGGCAGGGAGAAGCTTGCCTGGCTCACGCAAGGGGAGCAAGCAAAACCAATTAAGTCAGCTTTGTGAATGTGTAGGTTTATACAAAGGTTTCACTTTTAAAGCCCTTTTCAAATCCATAAGTGAATGCTGAAGATGAGGCTTCCCAGAGTTGGTTTCTCCACTGAACTCTTTCTGTTTGATTTATATTATTTCCAATCACAAAGGCAATTTCAGTGGAGGGTATCAACCTTTTATTTATTT